TATGTGCAAAATAATTATTTTGTCACGTTTTGGAGTGATACTGTACTCTTCTGTAGAAATGTGACATGAAAAGTCCAAAAAGAGTTGCATGGTTGCATTTTTTTAACAATAACAACCTGATATTTTGTGGGTTTGCAGACGCTGTTGCCACAGTTTGCAGTGACTCCTGCACTTGATCTTCGTGATCCGCTTTGTTTAAAGCCTCACTAGTTTTGCCACAAGAGATGAATAACTTCCAGCTTAGCGTAGATTTAATGCTAATTCTTGGCCTTCGTATTGGTGAGGCTATCTGAGTGATTCCCAGACATGGCGGCAGAAAATGGGTCAATCCTGCAGCCCAGCGCTGCTTCGCAGATAAAAGGTCTTCGGTTTAATGTAACACGCTGCTTGGGGTTGTTGAAAATTTGGGATGCTGCCCAAATAATGAGAATGTTTTGTTTGTTTCCTGTCAGACCAAATAATATTTATGATTAGAAATATATTTATTTTCTGTGTCCACACAGGGTTAGACTTTGGCCACATTTTATAGTGAAAAAACAAGAACAGACAAGAATGAATCAGGGATACAAACAGTTAATCAAATCAGTTGTTGATTAATGGAATAGTAGATTTAAATGAGTTCCAATCAATTAATAGCATATGTCTAGACCAGAGTTTCTAAAACTTTTCAGGCCACCGGATTTGAAATTGTCCTGCAGTGACACAACATCACGTCTAAAAACAATAAAAGTTCAGTTCAACCCGAGAAACTGAAAAACCTTCCTGAATTCCTCCGATCACATAAATGTCTTCAGCTTTTATTTTGAGTGACCCGCTCTTAAGCTACTTATCTGTTATTATTTTTAAACACGATCTTTAGGTAAGCTAGCTGTGTGCTGAAACTTTACGCCCCTCATTTCAGAGTTGCATTTTAGCCTTCATCCAGCAGAGGGCGCCACTGGTCTTTAAGCAGAGCTGGTTGGTACAGAAACAAAGATGGCGGAGCAATACCAGAATGGGAACAGAGTCTGATGTGGGATAAAAAATGACTTTATGCGTCTCTGTTTATAAATATAAGCAACAAACTGCTGAGCTGCATGATGGGATAGAAACGACTTTATCAACCAAAACTTGCTGAAAAAATGCAGCAAAGCAGAAAAATTGGCAACGACATGCTATTGCTTGGAACACCCAGAAAATAAATGCGTAAAACATTAATATATTTCTAGATATTGCCAGACAGTCTAAGTGGGGGGATTATTGGTGTTGAACAATCTGTTGGCTTGACAATTAATTATCGATAAGCTCAATCAACTTTAGGGATGAAAGTTATAGCTTAATGAGTCAATCTAGTGGGGATTAACTCCGTCACAGCAGTGAGTAGATTTCCACTTGAGGCGCCGGCCGGCCTCTGGTCCATTTTTAGCCTGCGGTAGCTCGCAGCCACCTTGCCCCGCTGCAGCCCGTGTGGGCCGGCGCTGGCCGCTGCAGCCGGGTTCCCCTGGGAGCGGGTCGCAGGCCGGGGTCGGGTCTGCTGGGCGTGGCGCGGCCAGGCGGTGGCAACAGGGGCGCTGCTGAGGAGAACCTGTGCGTTTGAAGTGGTAGACCTGAGAAAAACCCGTTTACTCAGCAGCAGGACGACAAGAATGCCCGAGTCATGACGAGAGCGGCGCAGCGGAGGAATGCGCTGCACAATCCCAACTCTGTGGGAGCCGCGCCGCACTGAGGTGGCAGCCGTCTCTTCCTATTTATCCAGGCTCCCGCTCCACTCAATCACAGGCACAAAGGAACTTTTAAACGTTTCTCTTTTACGGCTGGGAGAGTTTTACACCGTCACTGGATTTCTGTGTAATCTGTGCATCATTTACTGCAGTTTCACCAAGATGTCTCCATGTGTGACCTTTCAGTCCAGGTCATTAACTCCTGCCAACGGTTTGGACCAGAGAGGGGCAGTAACCAGTTACATTTACCCAGGAGTAACGTTTTGGAAAAATGTACTGCAGAGTAATTTTTGATATCCTGTACTTCTTCCTTTAACTTGAATAATTTAATTATGAAATATTTCCACTCTTGAGTAAAGTTTCTTGATTTTCTGTCCACTGAATGAAGAACAAACATGTTTTAAATCAAAACTTCACCAGAAACAGACAAACCTTTAGTTTTTTCTAAAGTTTCATCATTTTTTTTATTGATAGAAACTGATTTGGAATTTTTTTCTCATATTTTAAAAATTTATATAAACTATTTTCATCCTTAAAATATCAAAATTTCCACTTAACTTTATATTTGGTCCATCTTAAGATGTAATTTTTAAATATTGAATGATTGATAATTTGATCAGTTGCTCAGTACTTGAGGAGACTTTTTACCAAATACTTTTGTAATCTTACTGCAGTAATTTCAAGGCAACTTTTTACTTTTACTTGAGTAAAAATATGTTGAACTGGTGCTGCTTTTGCTAAGTAAAATGCTTGGGCACTTTGCTCTCCTCTGGTTTAGACCAATCAGCCTCGTTTCTAAATCTGCTGAATAAGCGTATTCTTGAACACACGAGGTCATTGTAGCTCCATGTGACCTTTGTTTACCGACTCTGGTTTGTTTGCTGAGTGGTCTTCAGAAACTGACACAAACTCCATATTTAGCTTCATGTCTGCTCCACTTCGCTGCTGTGGGTCCAGATTTCTGCCTTTCCTTCTGCTTTATATCAAAATGAATTCATGACACTCTGAAATTTGTGGTTCAAGATCAGTAGCACAGTTCTGCTATTTTAGCTTTAATATTGGAGTTCATATTGGAGCAGCACCAAATAGTTCATTATTGCAGCATCGTCTCTTGCAGCATCATCTCTTGCATCAACCTGATACTAACATCTGTATCAAGCCTCATCTGCAAAGGCAGATCGATTCAGCCTAATTCTAAGCTTTTGAAGGTTTGTTTCAGTTTATTTACAAGAGAGAGATTTCTTGATAAAACAACGAAAACTACAAATACAGAAACAAAGCAAGCAATTAACAAAATGACTCAATTAAATAAGTTAATTAGACGTAAAAATACTGTGAAGGCTCAATCTGCATCAAAGCAGATGAGAATAAAGTGATATGATTGAATTTTTGACATGTATTAAATATAAGTGTTAATGAAAACACTTATATTTCCCAGATTATCCTTTTATATTCAACATCAGTTTTGTATCACATTAAAGTGGCAGCAGTATTATTATAACTTCACTGTGGTTGAAACCAGACAAAACAAGACTTAATGAAAGCCTTTCTGTGATTTCCCTCTTTCAAAGCAGACACTTAAACGCATCACCATGATTCCTTTAAAGCTTATCTGCAGGCTTTAGGCCTGCAGCTCTCCTGCAATATCCAGTCAGTCGGCTGACGCCCAAAAGAAGGATTTTATTTTAGATATTGTTATCCAAAGTTGAATTTTATGACATTATGACCATCAGATCTCTGCAGGAGAGTCTCCGACGGGATGAAGGCTTTCTTATCCACTTTGCCTCTCATTAGTTTTCCACAGATATTACGCCGTCCGAGTGAACGGCCAAGAAATATTTGGGGTGAAGTTAAGAACCGGCGGTCCGTCCATCACAAGCTAAGCCTTATCGGTTCCCCTGGTCTGGCTGCAGATTCAGTTCTCTCAGGTCAGACAGTTCAGTCCGTCTTCATCTGGATTCCAGGGAGAAGCTTGTTTTGAAGTCGGATGGTATTTTTCTGTCATGAAACCTCAGAGGAGGATCTGAGAACTGTAAAATCGCCTCACAGTCGCCGTGAACTGTTGGTCATCTCTGTTCAGAACGTCTCGCCTTCCTTATGCAGACGTATCTGAACGCTCAGCAGTGTCACATTCCCTTTATTCTCCCAGAAAGTCAAGGTTTAAGTCTGATCGGTGGTGTTCAGGGCTGTAGGCGCTGCAGTTGTTGCTATTCAGTCAACAACTCAGAAAGTCGAAGCTCCAGATTTTAAAGTCCTGAATAATAAGTACAAGAGGCTGATGCAATGAAACGCTGCAGGAGCCAAAATACATTCAGATGGAGGCAGGAGTAAATATGAGCTAAATATTAAAAAATGTTGTTAGATGTCACTCATCAGTCTGTAGATTGTTTTATTTTGACTTCCAGTGGAGTCCAACCTGTTTACCGCTCAGTATTCATAGATTACCTCGGAGCGTATCTAAAATACCTGAAACAAAATGCATTTCATCTGGATAATGAAATGCTTGGATGCACAAACAGCCTTCACATTCAAAGGCATCAAAACTGGAACAAATTCCCACAAAGTCTTAAATTTTCTCCTTCAGCGACTGTTAGAAAACCAGCATGAAATAAAATAACTTTGGCATTGATGACCACACAGCAGAAGTTTGCATTTTTATGATTCTAAATAATGTATGTTTGGACTTTGAATGACTGTTTTGTGATATTAGACTGATTCTTTAACTCACCTGCTCAATGTTCTTTCTTTTTTTTTTTTTTTGCTCATTTTCCCTGTTTCAAATAATACACAAAACTAAACACTGTTATTTTTACATGCTGTTGGCTGCTGCTTATGTCACTTATAACAAGACGCAATCTGAAATAATTTGCCAAAAAACCAAAAAAAAAATTGTTTTTTGGCAAAAAATAATTTTTTGACATAACTTCTTAGGTCAAGAAATTATTGACATAAAACAGCTAAATTTATTTGCTGGAAAGTTTCCTCTAAGTTAGTTTAGTCTATTTTCAAGTGTAATGAAATATTTGTAATGGAAACTAGATAAAAAATACTTTTGTGTTTTTGCAGGGTGCATAAATACTGAACATGCCTTTTTAAAAATAAAATGTAAATAAAATGATTATTCCTACTCTTTATGTAGACGCCTTTTTCAAATTTGAATCTGAAAAACTTAATTTAAGCTCAATATAGAACATAAGGGTTAAGAAGAATTTAAGGCTTAAATGTGTTTTTCAGGCAAGTGTTGAAAAAATGGTTCTGTTTGTAGATTTAGTTTTAACCAGCAGCTGTTTGAATCTTCAGAACCAGAGCTGGGTGTCGCCGGGACGCTGGACTCGCTGACGCAGCAGGTGAACCAGACGGTCCGCCGCCGCCGGCACCGCCGCGACGCCGGAGAAAACGACTACAACATCGAAATCCTGCTGGGAGTCGACGACTCGGTGGTTCGCTTTCATGGCAAGGAGCATGTGCAGAATTACCTCCTGACTCTGATGAACATCGTAAGTCTTTCATATTTCAGATCAATACGGAGGAAATGGGAACGAAAGATGTTATTATAACAGAAATACTCCTTGTTTCCTAGAGGCTATATTCAATACCAATCATGGAAGCTGGATTTGTTTTGTACTGTAGTAAAAGTTTCCCTCAGGCAGCTTTAAAGGATTAAATGCGAACGCAGCATCTATTCAAGGAAAACGCAGCTCTGGGCCTTCCTGGTCCTGCTGCTTTAATCTGTCTGAATTCCCCAACCTTTTCCTCAGGATGGAATGAAATGAGACACAATGTTACTGCCTATCATGGCAATACTGGCAGACATTAAACTGCAGAAGACCAACATGCTGACTCATGATTTTCATTTTCGAGTCCTTGCTGAATTCATAAAATGAACCACAAGGTGTGTGAACTCTACTGTTGAGGATGAGGTTTAACAACCTAAAAGCAGACTTTGAAAAGATGGATTTAGGCTTTTTGCATATCACTTACCAAGTTTAAACCTCAGAACGACTCCATAGCTAATTTATGTGAAGGAAGTAAACATGACAGCACAGAAAGTTTAAAGAAAAGTGAATAAATTAACAGAGTTCAGAGTTCAGATGGAGGACAATGGTTCAGTACTTTATCACTTGGATGCAACATGCCATGGAGGTAATGGAGATGCATGTTGGAGAACAAAGAACATCTTGTAGATCCTCAAAAACCTGGAACGGGTCGGTCCTGGGTGGGAATCTCAGGAGGTTATGACCTTTACCTGCATTGAGTTTTTGTTGTGCAGCAGGACAATAATCCAAAGCACATCAGTGAGCCATTCGATGTTTTATTTGTGGATTACCTCCAAAAATCTAAATCAGGGTTTTCCTGTGGCCTAGTCAAAGTATGGACTTGACTCCAGTTGATGACCCTCCAGTGAGGCGAATCGAGACAAACAGTCCCACACAGCTAAGGTTAGCTCACCAGTTTAGCAGACTGGAGTCGCAATTCTGCTAAGTTTTTCAGCATTGACCCAAACCTGTCACAACATAAGCTGTTCAGATCAGTCAATACCGATAATCATTGATTAGTTTTTGTTTTGAATATCTGGATAACTGGTAGTGATGCTTTTCCTGTTTTATCCACATTTTCTTCTTCACTCTGTTTATTTCTAAGCAGTTACAAAGCAGAGTGGAGAAACCTGAAACCGCTGCTGCGCAAGCGACTCAACAGGCTGTTGCTAGGTAACCAGATATTGAGTGAGTTGCTAGGTTACCAAAGAGTGAGAGAGTTAGCTGATGTCGCCAAACTTGATTAGACAGAATCCTTTCCTCGGCCTACATTTCCCATAATGCTGTGCGGTTCTGGATCGGAGTTCAGTGAATATTTTATTGAATATTAAATATTCTCCGATAAATTACCTATTCATATTGATCATGTCTATTGCAATATATATTGTTATTGATTTGTTATCTAGTGCCTTGTGTTTTATTTTTTATCATATAGAAAAATATACTTAAAATCATAATTTTAAAACTAAATTCTGCATTTAATGTGTTTATGTTACAAATTAGTTTAACCGTCTGGAGCAACAAAAGAGCATCAAACCTTTTCTCATCAAGCATAAACAAAGTTTTAGATGATTTAAAATCAAACTACTAGTTTGCAGAGTTTTGACGTATCGGTGATCCAGTGTTGAGTTGAGTGCTGTTTAGTGATGAATGCAGAATGAAAGGCAGTGCAGAGGTTCATGCAGGCTGCAGTCCTGACTGTCCGTGTCACTGGCTGATGCTTCAGACGCTGAGCCACTTTGAGCAGCATCACTGTCAGACGCAGCATCATTCCTGACACGTGTCAGCCTCCGCGCTCATGATGCCGCCTCAGTTCTTCTCCAGAGTTCACCACCTCCGTGTTTTCACTAAGCTTCTTCATCAGGGGTTTAACTTCGTTTTATTTTGCAGTCATCATGCATCAAAGCTGAAAGGAGCATGACACTATGTGTAGGTCAGGCGTTCTCAACCTGCGACTCCGGAGCTGCATGTGGCCCTTTGGATCATCCATAACTTTATCCTAAAATGCTGAAGACTTGAGCGTTGTTTTAAAGCATGGATGTGAAGTCCAATTCGGCACACGCTGGTTGTTCCAGAAAGCGTTGATAAAGCCCATAAACAAACCAAACAACCAGCTGCTTTCAGTAAATACTTAGTCTTTTACCACTGATCAGTCCCTCAAGGATATTGTGATTGTTTTTTGGATTTTATTCACTGATTCTGTGAAGTTAACTTCGGAATATTTGCAGTTTCAAGATATTTGCGCTTATGTACAACAATAAATGTGGCTTTTTGTTAGTGACCACATCATTCAGATGGAAAGTCAAACATAAAACAATAAAAACCAATTTAAAGCAAACAGTAAAATCAAACTTCAGTGCAAACACAAAGTCAACCTGCAAGTACAAGGAAAGTCATTTAGTGCTTTAAAACAAACTTCAGTGAGGAAAGAAAATAATAATTATCTTCTTGTCAGATGCTGTGGAGTGTTTCAGCGTTCACACAATTCTCCGTTTTGTTCACGTTAGAAATACAAGCTCTAACTTTTCATCAACTCTCTACTACTTTTCCAAATCTGGGGTCTTTACATGAGAAAGATGATTATTGAAGTCATATTGTTAGTGTCACTGCCTCTATTTAAAGCGCTCCTTGTTAGGACTCCTACTGTGGCGGCTTGGAAATCATCTGACTAATCACTTCTGGGACAAAGTTATTAATACGTTTAAAAGTCAGTTTTAGAATAGAAAAATGTCAAAACTGTAAAGATTCGACTTTTTCCTGTATTTTGCAGCAATGCCCCTTCACTGGCATCTTTTAATCTAAAGCTTTTTCTGCCTGTTTATATGATGACATCATAGATCTTGAACCCGATTGGCTGGTTTGTGTCCAGATAAAATGAAAGCCTGCAAATACAACTTAAACACACAAGATGCTGTGAGGCGAAATCCATTGAGATTCAATCTTACAAATGTTTAACTTTTGGTGCAGTTTCAGAAAAGTTGCTCACGTAACGTATCAATGTGAACAAAGTAAGTTTCAGGTCAAAATGTGCCGATCCAATAATCTGCTTTATGTGATATTAATGCGTTAATGTTGACGTCCCTCTGAATGATGCCTCTGGTTGAGGATCGTCTGGACGTTTTGGTCACTTGAAACATCCATTCCTGACGTGAACCTGATTTAGCTGGAATCAAACCCTGAGTGACGTGTTGCGATCCAGGAAGCTGCAGGTTTGATGACGTTTCTGAGGCCTGGCAGGTGAAAAAACTGCTTGAATCCAAGAGGAGGAAGTGATCCGAGCACAAAAACAGGGAACACACAAAAATCACGAGCGCAGAGAAAGATAGATTCTGTATTTCCACCAGCAAATACTGTTGATAATCTGACAGGGAGGTCGAGATGGAGAGAGAGAGCGAAGTAGGGAGAGAGAATTCGGCACGGCACAGGTGGGCTGAATGAAACTGATTAGGTGAATTGAATGGGCTCCTGAAAACATGAAAGAGGTTGAGGCTTAATTATTACACATTTTGTTTTCGGTCGCTGTTTTATCTGATGAAACAAGATGGTTTTAGTTCAGTGGGCGTCTTGGCTGCTCCTCTGGCTGATGCTCTCATTACCCGGCCAGTGGCTTCGGGTTTCAGGGTGTCGTACAGCCGCCGCTGCCAGATGATGATTGAAACGCTCTGCGCCTGCTTTTCAGAACCTGACCGAAGCTTCTCCACATCTTTCTGCTGTCTCATGATGTTTTGTTATTCATGTTGGTTTTTTTTTTACTTTGTATTTTTTTTCTGTTTCTCTGAAACTTACAGAGGAAATAATGTAGCCATTTGATTCAGTGTTGCTGTTAGAAACACTACCTTTCAGATTGCAAGACTTCTGAAGGATTCGACTTTTAAAACCCTTTCCTCTGACACGTCAATCTATTTTTACACCAATTTATTTAACCTTAGACATGTTGCAACAAATGTAATCCAGTTAAGAGTGAATCTCCTCCTGAAGTCACTGTAGTGACTAATTGCCATCTAAGCAGCTGAGTTCTCGCTGGTCATAGCGTCGTGTCTGAGTGTCCGCCGCTCTGTGCTTCTGACTCACATTGACTCAAAGTGAGATAACTGGCCATCCAAACACAATGGAGGCTTCAATCAGATTCCTCACAGCCTCAGTTCAGATCCGCTCTGAGCTGGTGTCATGGCCGCCGCTCCCCCAGCAGGGTCATTTCACCGAGATGCTTTTCACGGTAATTTGACAATCGACTGAGGCTATCGCTGGTCTGACGGGGGCTGGTTGGATATGCAGCATTAGATTGTCAAATTGTCAGAAGCGTTTCAGGAATACATCACGACTGCTGGGAGAAAGTGGCTGTGATGCCTCTGTACTGTGGGTTTAATGAGAGCTGCTTGTTCAGACGGAAGATGAGGATAAATGCCCTGAAGCGGCGCTGCTGGTACTTTCTGGCTCCACAAGCCGCATCTGTTTCTCAGCAACAGATGCGGCTTGTCTCATCCTCTAGTGAGGGCTTCATCTCGGCTGGAGATGAAGCCCTCACGGCGCGGCGTGAGGGATAATGGCGGGCAGATACTCTGAGATACTTTTGTACCTTTTGAAGTCATGTCGCCAAGAATTAGAATAGAGGATGGAAGACATCACAGAAACAAATCTAACACCTCTTCCATGTGAAAGTGGACGCAGCAGCGCCACGGTGGCCGTGGCGGCGCAGCGGCAGCAGCGCAGCGGCAGCAGCGCAGCGGCAGCAGCGCAGCGGCGGCGGCACCGCCGGGGCATGTTTGGGCTTCTGGGTGTCGTCCTCCAGCAGAGATTCCTGCAGCTCTGTCTGGCCTCGGCTCTCTGATTACTGGGACTGACAAGAACGTCCAGCTGCAGCCAGTCGAGTCTTTTGGTCTGGATCTGTCTGGATCCCGCCGTTCGCCTTATTCTCCCTCTCTGATCCTCACTCTGCTCACCTTCATCTTCCCACAGCTCTG